CGTGTTGCTGCTCATAAACATGAGGACACACAGCGAGCTGCCACACTGTGAGCTGACACACTATGAGCCGACAGACCGTGAGCTAGCGCACAGTCGCGCCGCTGATCGGATACACAGGACAAAGCGGGCTGTCAGTCAGGCACAGCTTGCGGTCGGGTAATCACATGAAATGCACTGGGCAGAAGCTTGGTAACCGAGCGTCAGTTGATTTTAAGCCGACTGCTCGCTAAACGTCGGAGTTTGGTTGACAGTATCGCGCGATATCAATGCTGAACAGGCTGTGATGGTGATGACAAAAAAGATTGTCCTGGGTTCTGTTTGGTCGCAGTTTTTTACCAGCAGGCTGCGAGCATGCTGCTATTTCTTGGCTCCTCATTGGTCAAAGTCACGTGGTCTCTTCATTTAACCATGGGAGGCCAAGAAGCGCCAGCAATAGCTTCCTTATATGAGAAAAACCGACAGCATGCTGATAAAAACAGCGACCGAGCAGAGCTCAGATCACGCACCTGGCCGGCGCCGGAGAGGGCGGCCACGCGGGCAAAGTCCAGTCCGGCCACGCGCAGCTTGTCCATCAGCATGTCGAGCGCCTTGACCCACATGATGGCGGGAGCAGTGAACGTCAGCCCGTCGGCGCCGGCGTTCACACCGCCGTGCGTCCTGCAGAGGGCAGAGGGCCGAGGGGAGAGTGTGTGTGTGGGGGGGGGGAGGAGGGATTTGGACTACAGAGAAAGCACAACAGAACAATTGATTCACCAATCACCATAGTAGTAAGCCAGAGGTGAACACCAAATAGGACTGGCCACACCAACAGCAATGCTAGCACAGTACATCAAGAGGATGGTCAATGGTCACAGCAGCATGCCTAAATAATGAAAGTCAGAGTGCATTGAAATTTGAAGTTGTGCCTATCCTTCACATGACTGAATGCTGACTTTAGCCAGTAGCAGATCAATCTGGCCAATCTGATGAAACTGGCCAAAGCCACACAACTGTACAAAATGAGCCAAGTACCTGCAGCAAAAAGTAAAATGTCATTTATTTCGTATGAGAAGCATAGACTACAAATCAGATTTACAATATACCCATTACCCTGACACCACACCACATGCTATAACAGGTTCCAATCATCTTACCTGAATTCAGGAAGCTCCCTGTCAAACATAACTGAGGCCTCACAGATCACTTTCAGGTGGCAATCAATGGCTAAAGCCTTCAGCTGTAAAGAAACAATCGATCCGGGTCAGCACACACAAACTTAACATTCCAGAAGTATGTGATGAAGGTGCTAATTGTTAACAATCATAAACATATTGAATGCCAAATTCAAATACAAAATGGATATATTTTGCATGTGTCACCTGTTGAGTGCTGAAATCAAACCCAATATAGGCTGTATCTTCCTCCTCCCCAGCCATGGGTCCTGTGTTGGCAGCTGGAGTCTGTTCAGGGTGCTGCATCTCACCAGAATCAGCTGCCTACAGTGTAACACAGGCAGGCACATGGTAAACATTAGACAAAGTACCTACATGTGGACTGACAATAGATGATGGGTATTCATAATTCAGGAGAGATGAATGAAAGGTTTAAAAAAAATGATAATTTTGAGTTTTGACAAAAATACTAGTAAGTCTGTACTATTGGTTTTGATTAAGTCTGCTGACTGCTCACATATCTTTTTAAGGCCCTAGTGGTGCTGTTGGCTCACTCATTGTCCCACGGTACTGGAAGTTCCAGGTTTGATCCTCAGTTCTGTCTGCTCCACATGCATCATGCATCACCAGGAGTGGACTGTGGAGTAGGCTCCCACACTAGCCATAGCCCAGGGGAATGGGGAAGGACAATAGAAGAGCAGGAGCTCTCCTGTCAATAAGACAATATACCTCTCGGTAGCCTCTTGGAGGGAAGATTGAGATGAATAAAAAAGGCGCAATTCTTATTTTCCTTACCTGTGCATACTTCTGTGGAGCCATGAACATATTGCATGGACCAATGTGGGCCAATACATAGGCAGGTACTGAATTACAGTGCTGGTGCACTGTGCAGCACTGCCACTGCTAGAGATGTTTAAGTATGCATACAAAAATTCAGAGAAAAAATCTTGCAATTTTTGGAGCAGCATTTCAAAATAACATTTATTTTGCACTTAGCAGCAGGTAGGTATATGTAACTTTATGTTACTAAAGTAGCTACCTAGGTACGTCCTATGCAGTACCTGTCCTACGCGACCATCAATTAACCAGTGAATTTTCTATACAGGGCAAAAAGTAAAGAGCAATGGGGGTGCCAGAAAACACATCAACTGCAAGAAAATTGATATTTTTTGTAATAATCCTGATCCTGTAAAAAAATCACCCTGTACCTACACTGACACACATGGCAGACTGGTTAATTCTTGCAAATTACTTACATCCATTTTGACACACCATCAGCTGAATCAGAATACTAATTGGTTGAATCTTAAGTAGCCCAACAATCTCAATTTGGTCAATGAATCGACTAGGTATCGGTGATCACCGACACCGTTCCTTGGAGACAAAATCTTTCGCCTCCGACCCTCAAAGAAGTACCTACGGCTTCCAGTTCCACTTGCTTCTTAATATAATGTAGCTGAAAGACCCTATACAAAGAGGTCAGGGACTGGTTCAAAAAGTAGCACTGAAATGATTATTTATCCTGGGCAGATTGAGAATGCAATCGCTCACCATACCAACAGATGCAGCGCTGAGTCAATAAACAAGAAGGCGTGACCTTCATGTAAGACATGTTCAGAATATCCTGTAAGCGTTGTGTTTATGCTCAATCATTTGCAGTTGAGCCCGCTATGGTTCAGTGTATCCTGCGTACACTACCTGCTGATGATATTTTTGAACAAGTAATTGGAACATAAAAATGGTGTAGTTGAGACAAAACAAAAAAGCTGTCAACCACTAAATAGAAATAGTCACGAAATGACTTAACAAATATTGTTTTGGTATTGGTGTGAACTATTTTATATTGTAACACACAATGTCATGGCGTAATGTTCATGACATATTGAAAGGTCATGTGGGAAAACAGTTGTTTTGTGAATGATATAGGAATGTTTGACCAAAAAATAAGCTGGAACTTAGAAAAGCATTATTCGGTTTCATGGTTTAGGTGTGGACAATTTCGGCGCAGCAGAACCAAGTAGGGGAAGACAAGGCCCTAAAACATAAGGTTGGACGAAGTTTTCTACCAAAAATGTACTAGAATAGCGTACGATTCAAAGCTATTCCCGTTGTTTCTTTACAAATATGTCGCAAACAAGCTTTTTCTGTAATAAATCATTATTTTGAAGTTAGGCAACCAGTTGCTATAAATTCGATAAGCAAACACTTATTTTTTATATAAAAGCCTAGCTTATATAGTCCAACTCTAGTTGAATAATCAAGTAGCTACTAAATTTTCCAGATGTGACACATATTGCGCACTTCAGACAAATGCGTTGCTAAGGCGTTGCTAAGGACTCTTTCGCATGTTTTGCTGCGTGGTTTTGTTGGTTTTGTTATGAAGTGAGGGAAGTGAGATGGACGGGCTTTTTGAGATATTTTTTCTGGTTTTCTAGGACCGTCGCAATTCTTTAACTTGACATACCTTTCTTGCTTTTTTATCCGAGGCTTTTTCAATAATTGGTAGATTCTATCGTGAAAATAAAAAGGGCCAGCAGGCCCGAGAATGCAAGTCGACTGATCTGAAATAAAAGCTAAAAGTGTCTGTTCCATTAGAAATTTAATGTGATGTGTGATGGAACATGAAGCAACAGGATCAGACGCAAGAACCACCAATTAAGATTTAAGAACCCAGAACCAGCAAGCGCCATGCCATCAAGAGCAGCCATGGTAACGTTTGATTAGCTTTCAGAAAATCTTGGAACTAGACGCCAGACGGTGAGCAATCAAGAGATCTTACAAGACCAGTAGTTACTTGAAAAAGAGAGCTGCCAGGAAAATCAGTGGATTCTTCAATGGCAACACATTTCAACATCTATCTAGCAATAATTTGCACCAGCGAGGTGCTATCATTGTGTTTTGCGTCTGTATCACTAACTGCTCAAAAATATTTGTCAATAAAAAAACAAACAAATAATGCGTCTTTTTCTACTGAAAGTATAGTCCTCCAAGTGGCAAGGGATGAATAATAGAAGGTACCTTATTAATTGCCATCTATTCATTCAATTAATAAATTAGGCAATTCAGGGCATCGATCGGCAGCGCCATTACTGCATGGTACTGCGGATCGTCCATGGGTTTCTTGATGACTCGGACTCTGACTCAGACTTTCAAAAATCAACTCTGACTTTGATTTCAAATGTCGGCTCTGACCGACTCCGACTCCACAGCCCTAGCAGGTCTGCGGAGGCAATGGATTTTTGGTGACTCCGACTCCGACTCTGGCTTTCAAAATCGACTAGCTGACTCTGACTCTGGTCAGAACTGTCGACTCCGACCGACTACAACTCCGACTACGGAACCCTGAAAGGTCTGCGGAGGGGATTGAATTTCGGTGACTGACTCAAACTCCAGCTTTAAAATCGACTCTGACTCCGACTCGGCGACTCAGGTCAGAACTGTCAACTCCGACCGACTTCATGACTCCGACTCCGGAGCCCTACTGGCAGCTATCACGCCAGGGAGCTGCAAATCATATGTTCCGTGGCGGTTTATGGCATTAAAGTCTATAATGCGGCTGAATCGCACTATGAAACACCCTTATTGGCTCCAAGAACCACGAAAGTTATTGCATCACCACTGGAAAACGTGACAAGATATCGATTAATTGGCCCTGGATTTGGATAAATAACATGCTGATGATCATATTAGCACACATTTACACTATCATCTATCTCAAGGTTGCCCTCCAGGCGGCTCTAAACTATGGCAATTTCCCTATCTTCAACATGTAAATGCCCTCGGGCGTCCTCGTGGTGACGTAGGCATGGGAGTGCCAGGTTGGTAGGAACTAGACTTCGACGCCCCCTGGGGGAAGAGAGAGCACGGGGGGAGAAGAGAGGTATGTCAATTCTAATTATTTTTGTTTCATAGCCCTGATGCAGTTTTGTTATCATTGCGAAAGTTAAGAAATATTATATTGATATAGTTTTAAAACCAAGAATTGCAAGGATCTCTGCAGGGTTTCGATTCAATTCATTTGCACTGGGAGTTAAAATGCAGAATGTGGTCGTGGATGGTTTTGGTTAATTTCTTCAATTATTTGTGAATGTCAATTTGTATGTTGATCCTTATTCAAGCTGATCTAAGCATGTAATTTTATTTATTTCATTTCCAGAGAGCCACTGCACCAGTCTGTTCATCTTAACACACTGATGAGGTTCCCCTTGAGGTGAGTATTCAAGCTGATCTAAGCATGTAATTTTATTTATTTCATTTCCAGAGAGCCACTGCACCAGTCTGTTCATCTTAGCACACTGATGAGGTTCCCCTTGAGGTGGTTGCTGTTTTTTGCTGTGGTCCGCAGAGGCGGCTGACATCTCAAACAGCGACTCAGAAAACAGGGACTTGGAAAAAGCAACAAAAAACAGCAACTCGCTCAAAACAGCAGCCGCGCTTAGAGCGACCTATTAGAATAGTGACTCACATTTTTGAGCGATTGAAAGGACAATCGGTAAAATCTTGATCTGTAATACCTAGAGCGACTTCAGAGGAACAGCGAAGCGACTTTTCTAGGCTAATGGTGATTAGAGAAGCAAAAATCGAAGCTTTCTTATGAAGCATAATAATATTTTTATATAAAATGTGCTCGTTTTGCATCATTGTTTATGTACTAAAAAATCAGTTTGGAGTCCATATCAAACTAAATTTCCTAACATCCTACTTGCAGGTTCGTTTCACTGTTCCGTCATTTCCATCCTCACTTCTCAGGGCTCAGGACATTCAAGTCCTTCTCCTCCGACCTCCACACCTCAGCCCCATGTTCCGGGCTGGACGGGCAGCTTTATCCCATGCGGAAATGCCTGTAAGTGTGCGCCCGATGAGTGCTTCGGGGGACTGGTGAGTGGTCGGTCTGTCCTCTGGACGGGCCCAGCTCCGCCAACTCACCAGTGTGCTCGCCCAGGCCAATGTCTCCTCCTAATTCCTATCATCCTTCCGGCCCTGAAATGGCTCATCAGATCGAAAGGGCCAAACCCAGCAAAACTGGTTTGTTTCAACTCAGTCGTTAATTTGTTTCGATGATGATAAGTGGTTTTTCGTTGACGTCGTTGATCGGGACAAATTAATTGCTAAGTTTCCTCCGATTGCGCTGGGATATCTGAGAATGTCAAGATAATGATGTACTTGCTTTTCCAATCCCCATCAGCTTAGAATAGTCTGTTACTCTGAAGCTGCTCTATTACGGATCGCCGTTTTAGAATTGCTCAAGCGTGATAGTCGCTGTTCTAGAGGTCGCTCAAAAAGTGATCGCTGTTTTTCTGTCGCTGTTTTTAAGTCGCTGTTTTCTGAGTCGCTGTTTGACACGCAGAGGCACCCCAAGTCTGCAAAGCATGGCAAGCTAGACAATTTTTTTTTTAGGTTTGTATTGTAGTCAGGCAGCAACTGCAGATTTTGCGTGGAGTGGTGCAGGCTGTGGGGGTGAATTGGTTTTTACAGCATTGGCTGGTACCACCATGTGAAACTGCTCTGTTGGCTTACCAATTTCTGAAATTAGGTGCCTACATGATATTAAAACTGTAGGTATGTGCTTCCAATTCTCTTTTTCTTTACATTTATGAATGGAAATGAAATTCCAGCAGCATATCATGGCGACACTGTTACTTCCAATGTAAACTAGTTTACATCATTTTGTTATTTATCTGTGAGACCATTGATAAAGTGTTTCATTGTAGGTATCAAATATAAGTGTATGTTCTTCATTGGCCTTTTTTCTTGTATTTACAGATACCACTAGATATTATATCATCCGGTCTAGAGATGTCCAAGCGAAAATCCTTGGCACGATTAGCACTTGAAAGGTCCCAGTGCAGCCAAGATGCCGCAGAAGAGCCCCTGCACCGCTCGTCGTCAAACGCCCGGCCGCTGAGCCAGCTGACTGTGGTCGAGGGTGTGCGGGGAGACAGCGGCGCTGAACGGGCCGCCGATCGGCAGCCGCTGCCATCCTCCGGCGCCAGCAATGGAGCGGCGCCGCAGCCGCACATCGCAGTCATCCGGCGGCGGCCGGCCAGGAGCAGTGGGGAACAACGCATACAGCCGGGTCCCGCAGCTACGGCGGCCACCCACAACAGCCGGCACTCCTACCCGTCCGCAGCGGGCCAGCACAGTCACAGCCGAGTGGGGCCTCCTGCCGGCGACAGTCGACCTCAGAGGCCGGCCAGGGAGCGTCTGCAGCGGTCGGCGGCGGAGCGGAGTCCGCTGGTGGACGTCGGCAGTCCGCCGGCGCTGTCGCTCAGTCCGCCCGTGGACTTGGACGGGCCCGCCGCGCCGTGCGCCGAGAACGGCCGGCCGTGCGTCTCGCCGTCGGCGAGCAGCGGCTCGTCGGCCGGCAGCGGCGACGGCAGCCAGTCGGGTCTGCTCACTGCACGCGCCATGCACCATGCACACTCGACCAACGACCTGCAGGGCCGACCGGCGGACGGCAGTCCCGGCCCGGCCTGGTGCGAGCCCATGAACGCCGGACACAGAGCCAGGTGGGTGAACTGCGTCGGGCTGCCGGCTGCAGACAGTTCTTGTGTCGAGTGTAAATACGTAAGTTAAGAATTAAGCTACAAAGCGATTCGTCGTGTTATCGGCTGAGCTCGTGGTTGATCGATGATTATGTCGTTAGATGAATGCATCGTTTTTATGACTTAGGAGGTTTTGTGTTCTATTTTAAAATTTTGTTGAGCTGTCACTGAACTTACTGTTTTTTATTATGCTGTCATATCAAATACGATTAGTTAGCTTTCTCTCCCCTTCATCATTTCTCGTCAAACACCGCTCTAAAGATGTGTTCTGTTGGCTGGCGCTGGTTCTCGCGGTGACGCCTCTCCGTTTGTGTCAGGTCGTTCCCGACCGGGCTGGCGGGCAGTGTGGAGACGCTGAGCAGCTGCTCGGAGCCGTCTGCCGGCAGTCCGCTCAGCGGCATCACCGTTCAAAAGGCCCGCAGCAGGTGGGTGCCGCGCACACCGCCGCACGCTGTCACCAATGGGAGTGAGCGGTAATCTTAGAGCGGATGGCCCGACGGAAGGAGTTGTAAGATAGTTTCTGAGATTGTCATCGAAAACTGCTCCATTCGTTCGTTTCGTTTGTTCGCTCGTTTGTTTTTTCGTCGAACCGTTCGTTCGTCTGTGCGGGCGCTCTTTCGTTCATTTTCATGATTATAGCCATGGCACCAAAACTCATGAGTTTTGAAAATACCTACGCGTTACACAGCTGTTTAAATTTACATTTACATGTTATTTACTGCAGCCGCTGACTTGTCCTTGACATGTGCTGACGGCGACAGGGGCTATCTGGTGAACCAGACGGGCAGCGCGCTGCTGCTCTCTGCCGAGGAGCTGGACGCCAGCCTGCCACAGAGACAGCTGCACGTGCTGGTCGGCACGTGGAACATGAACGCCAAGGTCAGTTGAGAGAAATAGAGCCCTTAATGACGGAGCTCTGGTCTGAATTGAAGCTGGTGTTGTGTCTGCTGCCACGCAGATCCAATATCTAACGTATATTGATTGCATTGTGCTGCAGACTGCAGAAGTTGAACGTTGTTTTGCATTGAATGTTGAGCTCCATTCTCAACATAACCGGTTAGTGTGCAGTGTGGTCGCCTGGTCGATGAGCTCTGGGACCCTCGTTTATTTTGTTTGTGTACTCGGGGGCTGTTTCCATTGTGCCGAATGGACTTCTGGCCTTATTTTTCCACACCGCAACCGCAGCTGGGGAATCGAACAAACACTCGCTGAGTCTGCGGTGTGCGGTGGACGATCGATAGACGCATATGGTTGACGGCGATCACGCTGCAGATTGCGGACTGCATAGTCGGTGACACTTTGTATGCAAATTGCAAACCTGTGTGTGATTGAAGCTCAGTCGATTGGCCTTGACCTGCTTGACTGGACGTTGTCCATCCTCATAGTTTCTCCTTTGTCCGCTACCATATTTGCGTCTGTACTTGTGAGACCGTCCGTCTGGCTGTCCTTACATCCGGCTGTCTGTTCGCCGGTGCGTCCGTTCGTCTGTCCGTCCGTCCGTCCGTCCGTCCGTCCGTCCGTCCGTCCGTCCGTCCGTCCGTCCGTCCGTCCGTCCGTCCGTCCGTCCGTCCGTCCGTCCGTCCGTCCGTCCGTCCGTCTGTCCGTCCGTCCGTCCATCCGTCCGTCCAACCGTCAATGGGTCTGTCCATTCACCCGTCCATCTGTTCTTCCGCCGATCAGAAAGTTTTGGGTACTGACCGAAAGCCTGGGTTACGGACACCAAGCTTTGGACTTTTGGCCGGCCGGTTGGTTGTTCGGCTTATCCTCCATGTCGTCAGTCCCCCGTGACACAGCGTCCTCGACCCCCGTCAGGAGCCGCCGGCCTCTCTGGACGACCTGGTGCTGCCCGACTCGCTGGCGTTCGTGCCCGACCTGGTGGCACTGGGCACGCAGGAGTCGCACGCCGACCACCGCGGCCTGCTGGTGCGGCTGCAGTCCACCCTCGGCCCCAGCCACGTGCTCTTCCACTCGGCATCGCTGGGCACGCTGCACATCTGCGTGTTCATCCGGCGCGACCTCGTCTGGTACTGCTCAGGTGGGAGATTTGACTGAGTCCATTAGTGACGTGACTGGGGGGAATATGTGATTGAGGCTATCGGAGTCGTGTACATTTTTTCAAGACTTAAACTTTTGCTATGAAACGATAAGCGCACTCGACGAAGAACGTGATTCCTTTTTATGCTAATGTGTTGATCAATGTAATGTATTTCTTATAGCTACGAGCCATGCCGGTTACTTTTATTTGCTCCGTTTAACAGGCACTATTATCAGTTTATCTTCCACGGCACCAACCGTCAACCGGCTGTACCTCTGAACCAAATGATGACGTTTGTTCCTCTTTGTAGTTCCAGAAGAGGCGAGCTACAGCATACGGCAGCCTACGGCCATCAAGACAAAAGGATGCGTCGCCGTCGGGTTCCAGTTTTTCGGTGAGTTGTTCGCAGAACAGTGGTTTGTGTAACATAATTACATGCTGGGTCACGTACCTCTGCGTATTTCAAAATGGTTTTAGACTTTAGAGGTCTGCAATCTGCATATTGCTGATAACTTTGTTTCGTATCGTAACTATACAATTGAATATCACATCTATGTATCCTCTGTCCCCTTTTCTCCGTGTGTGGGTTTATGGCCGGTGCTCACCACCACGTCCCCACGCCGCTGTCTCGGTATGTGACCGCCGACCCCTCTGGCGCCCGCAGGGACCACCTTCCTACTGCTCACCTGCCACCTGACTGCCCACCTGGAGAAGCAGAACCAGCGGATAGACGACGTGCGCCGCATCTGCGCGGCGCTCGACCTGCCCCAGGCCATCCCCAGCCGCAGCAGCAGCAGAGGTGGGCACCGGCGGGGGCCGGGGGCGCCACCGGCTGTAGGGATACGACAGGCCGTACTGGGGGCAGTAGCGGGTAGGACTGCATTTTTGATATTGCGAAGTCTTTTTATATGCGCGTTAAAAGTTTTTCGAAGGTCATATTTCCCGTAGCGCTTGCATAGCACAGCTAGCTTCAACGTCACATTTATCGACGCAAATCCAGTTCAGTGCTTCTTCATTCATAAATCTAACCGACCATGGGTCATAACCTATGCCCCTCGTCCCCCGTCTTCCCACAGACGTGACGGAGCGGTACGACAACGTATTCTGGTTTGGCGACCTCAACTTCCGACTGCACCAGAGCCGACCGCGCGTCATCGACACCATCGTCGAGAGCTCCAGTACGATCCTGCTCCGCGAGCGAACCATGTCCGAGGCGTGTATGCGCAGTCTGCTCGAGTGGGACCAGCTCAACCACGCCAAACACAAAGGTGCACAGTGGTGAGGGAGGGTGGGGTTTAATCTGGGAGGTGTGTCCGACTAGAGGGAGTCCAGTCCGAGCAAACAGTCTTGTTTGATTGGAAGTCTGGTTCTACCATGGAATCGTCTCGACCCTGAATAAAAAATGATGCTGGCATCGTTAACGCAGAAATTGGTTGATAAACATCATGTTATTTTATCTTCTAACGTTAAAATCTGATATTCGTATTGAGTGACGCCGCCCCCGGTCGACAGGTCGGGCTTTCGAGGGCTTTAACGAAGGCGTTATCTCGTTCTTGCCCACCTACAAGTACGACCCGGGAACGAACACGTTCGACACGTCTCACAAACAGCGGATCCCGGCCTATACGGACCGGATCCTCTTCAAAAGCCGGCGCGACGGCGTGCGGTGAGCACAATACCGGTCACGGCAGTGGCTGGGGTGTCATATTGGTGAACGGCCGTTTGGGTTGTGTGAGAGCTGGAGATCGCCAGCGGGCTCTGGTGAACATATGTGAGGGAACATTGCCTGCTTTGATTTGATAGATGATTGCATGGCCTCTGTTTAGATGCCTACAGATATGATGATACCTGGCGGACTTTTGTGTCGCCTTGCATGTCTGTCTCTACACTGTGTTAAGTTTGACACTGGATCAAGTGCTAACCGTCCCTTCTTCTCTATATTCAGTTGAATCAGGATATAATCTCCCTTCTCGTCCCGTTTCACAGATGCATCAAGTACGATTCTGTTCAGCCGTTCAGTACGTCGGATCACAAGCCTGTGTGGGGGCTGTACCAGTGTCGGATACGGCCTAGTCTCGACAGGTGAGACAGATGATAGGACAAATTGAAGGTATTGAGAGATTACAAACCCGTCTGGGGGCTGTACCAGTGTCGGATACGGCCTAGCCTCGAGAGGTGAAGCAGTGCGTGAGAAAGGACGAGGTATTAGAGCAATTAGCATGAACCATTCTGTGGGCTCTTATACCAGTCAGCTGTCAGTACTGAACGCTTTTTGGACAGGGGAGAGAGAAATGGTGTCGTTTAAGGATATGGATGGATGCGAGTTTAAGAGATGGGGTAGGATCTGTCATTTTGACTGAGTCTGGGTGGTGAGTCCGGTCATCGCTTGGTAGCGTATTTAACGTGTACACTCTGGTGCTATTTTAGTGGCTGTTAATGTCAGAGCCACATCCTGAGTGTCACACCTCCGTCTTGCCCCGGTGTGCGGCAGCATACCGCTGGCGGCCGGCCAGTTTAACCGGGCCGTGTTCTTGGAGGGACTGCGGCGCCGGGCGCGCCACCTGCCGGCCAGACGGGTCTCTGACGGACGGCCGTGCAGCGTCCAGTAGCAGAGAACGCTGCCCAGTAGCGGCGACACACCTGCCATCTGCCGACCGAACGGAGCGGCGAGCAACCGCACAACGCCCGACCTCCAGCTAAGTGACTTTGAATAGGTGGTTATTTGTATTGACGCGTCAAGGGAGGTGCTAGGATCGCGCGAGTTAGTGCAAGACCGCGGTTTCTTTGCGATCTTGCTGGTCGGTGAATGATGATCTAGTCATGTCTAGTCATTTTATATGTGTGTAACTGCATTGTTGAGCCTTTTCAGCTAAAGTCAGTACAAATCCGTCACGCATGCTAGTCATCCCAGATTCCTAGTCAGAATGGGAGCTGAGTTAAAGGGACTATCCCACCTTTAACATGGGGTTTGAGTTGAGATAGCCAAGTTTGCGGCGAGGTTCAGAAACCACTATCTACCTAGGTTGCAACCCCCGCGGCCTCTTGGTGTTGAAGAAATTCGTTCCCTTCATTTGAAAATGGGCCTTGCGCAAGGCCCTATCTTCAACATGGAGCGACCGTTAGTGTGACGTCACCTCGTTTAGTCATTCTGATTTAAATGGGTTTGTTCGTTGAAAAATCGCTTAAAACTTGGTCTGAACTATGTTGCGGTGCCTACAGAGTAAAAAGAATCAGCTTTATGACAGTAATGTGGCCTGGGGAAGGAGGTAATTTTGGGCTGTGACGTCACATATTTGAAAGTTTGTGTTTGGAATATGGGAAGCCTAAGATGTTTAATGAAAAATAAATGCCAGAACCGTGTTCCTGGTCATCCAATCTACAAAGTCGTGCACAATTTAACTGGTTTTAACAACATTTTAGAAGGTGGGATAGTTCCTTTAAACTCGGCTAGACATTTGTCTATGTTCGTGACTCGTTAGTCTCAATAGTACTATGGGAATCTCAATGCCTCTGTGGGCTCCGTTACGTAACCGACTGATCTGAAGAAATTTGCGCACAATGTGTGTTAGTGCCTAGAGGGACGTCCTAGAGGGACGCTGCTGCCCTCCGCAGCAGTCATCCATACACACAGTTGCGCCCGCTGCCGCTGGGGGAATAACCGCTAAAACGGCATTTGAATCTCGGTGACCAATGATCTGTTATTTTGTTAGTGATGCTTACCAATGCTTGATGAAAGCACAAACAGCTTGAAACGTCCCCAGTATTGTGCTGGGTTGTTATTGCGTATTCCTCCCTTCGTTTGTTACCGAAGTGTTGCACTATGACGTATTAGCTCACTGAGACACGGAATAGCTCCTTATCTCACTGAGCGGCTGTGTTAGCTCACTGACCATTTGAACGTGTAGCTCACGGAGCTTAGTCTTTTATGGTTTCTGGGATTAGTGGGTCCCGTTCAGCTTGACCGGTATCCAGTGAGATAGCTAATTGTGACGCAGTGTCTGGACCCTCTGCCGAATGTGTGGCTCACCGCTGATATACATGGCTCACTGCCGGGGTTTACAGCTCAATGCTGACGTCTGTAGCTCACTGCTGACGGACCTAACTCTCTGTGCCGCGCGGTATTGTTCACGGGGACACCAATAAGTCTCACGACGCGGCGATAAGCTGACGACTCGGTCTGACCTGCGACCGGCGCTCTGTATCGGCGAGTCAGACATTAAGCACGCGGTGTCGGCGGGTCTGTGAGTGCCTGTGGTCGCTGTCACCATTTCTCTGCCTACCTCCCTCTCCGTCCATTGCTGGTGACGGTCCGTCCGTCCGTCCGTCCGTATTCCCCCTTCCGTCCCCCGTCGGCCGGCCGGTCCGCTGTGGCCTTCTTGTACCAGATCTGATCTGTGTGTGAGAGCGGTGTTGAAGTCTCGCTGGAGTCCGAGTCCGGTGAGGGCGCTGACAGCACTCTCGGTTCGCTGGGTCGGATAGTGGGCCCGTGCGGGTTGTAGACCGCGGAAATGTGTCGGACGAAGGCGATGACTGAAGATATAGGAGAATTGAGTCGCTTGAGGCGGTGAATGGAGGGGCGAACTTATACTGGTGCTGCAATACAATGTATGTCTGGTGGATGATGGTGTGAGTTATCCCAAAAAGCGAGGGTAGAGTGTCTTGTAATTACTTAATGCTGCATTTAGTGATAACTGCATCAGAGGAACATCCTACTTTGTTGTCATAAAATAATGATTGCATTACGGAAACGCTTGTCCTACCTCCGACGTTTATTTTGTGTATTTCTATTTCCTACAAAATGTGAAAATAGTTTGTCACATGCAAGGACATATTCACTGTATGTATGTCGCAACACGTTTCCATCATCAATGGCAATGGCAAGCTCTTGACAAGCTTATGCAATATGCATTATGCCACTTTCCTAGCCTAGATGACTGCTGACTGCTGAGTAAAAATGCATATAAAAGCGATATAAATACTGGTCCACATGTTACCGAAAAATGGCAGTGTTCGCTCCATCCCACTGGTCACTGGCCGGTAGAGCGATTTCGCAGCCCGTATACAGTTTACTGGTTTGCGCTGACCGCCGCGTTGGCTGCCTCCTCTGAGGCACCGGTGACGCTGCCACTCACGGGCGGAGCGGTACGCTCGAGATCACTGTGCACGTTGGGGCCTCGTTGGTTGCTGAGGAGGGCCTGGGGTCGGAGAACGGGCACGTCCCCCTCTCTCGGCGGCGTCGGAGTCTCCCGCGCGGTGCTGCCACCTCCGTGGAGATCGTGCGCTGATCGCGTAGCGCTGAGATCCGGCGACGCCACCGTGCCGCCACCTACCAGCTCCCTGGAGCCGCCCTCCGTCAGAAGGGCCGAGCCGTCCGCTCGCCATTCGGTTCCGCTGATCCTGCGTCTCTCGGCCTCCAGCGGCGGACACAGCGACAACACCGGTCTGAAGCCGGGCTGCGCTCGTGGCGCGTGATGGGAGCACGGACAGCGACTGCCGCCGCCACCAACCACGTCCTCCTTTTTGTGCTTGACGCGCCGGTTCTGGAACCAGATTTTGACCTGTTTCTCGGAGAGGCTGAGGTAGGAGGCGATCTCGATGCGTCTGAGCCGCGACAGGTACATGTTGGCACTGAACTCGCGCTCGAGCTGCAGCAGCTGGTGGCTGGTGAACGCCGTTCGGATCCGCTTGGAGGAGCCGCCGTCGTCGGGGCTGTCGGCCGACTCCGCTGAAACACAGAGGGGACGTGTGAGGACAGCGGGAGACAGCGGCACGGCGGGGAAGGGCGAACACCGACAGCACGGAAAGGCAAGCAGCAACACAGCGGGGCAAGGTGAACAACGCCAGGATGAAAATGCGAACAAAGCACAACAGGGAATGGCGAACAGTGGCACAGCAGGGAAAGGCGAGCATCGGCAACATGACAAGGCGAATAACGACACAGCAGTGAAAGGCGAGCGGCGACAGCATGGAAAAGATAACGACACAGCAGGGAAAGGCAAACACCGGCAAAGAACGACCAGCCACAGGCAAGATATAGTGAGAGACGAGGAACACATTACACAACGGCAAGAAACAACAGACAGTGCAATAATATCGAATGGGCGACAGTAAAGCTCGCAATTTCAGGAACGCCAGGGCAGCTCTCGGTGCATTGTTATTTTCTAACATTGACGCATGTTTCTGGGCAGAGCTTACAGTGCGTTGAACTTCATAAATCATAATTCATCAGGCATAGGGCGTTGCGCTGCACTCTGAAGTTTATTCAATATTTGACGGAACATTTTACATAAGCACCTCCATATAGCTATGCGACGTGGTTGTTTTTGCCAGAATTAGATCGCGGTATAAAAGGAAATGAAAAGTTGGAATTAATGTAATATATCAGTTCTTAAGTCAACGGCCTTGTAAAAAAAAAAACAATGTTGGAAGTTCACAGTTGAGAGCGAAACGGCGAGGTGCGTCACTGCAGGAATTAAAGAAGTTAACCCTATTCCTGGCGGGGGGGGGGGGGCCTCAGGAGCCCCCCTGAGGTTTTTTGATTATTTCTCCCAAACGCGTTGAGCTAGGAAGCTCAAATTTTCTTACTTTTCCTAAAAGGCTTCTACGCAACATGTCTGAAAATTTTGAGTTGATCTGACCTCAGGTCAGGTCACCAGAGGCGGTTTGGTGACCCTACCTCAGAAAAGTTTGCAATCCCGCCAGAGCTAGAGTTTTTGACCGATCAATTTCTTCTCTTCAGGCTTTAGTTAGGGTACCAGTATGTGCAATTTGTATATCTCGGAATTTTGATATCGGTGACCTAAGGTCAGGTCAGTTTCGCGACCTCCCCATTATAAGTCAATGGGGAAAAAATCAACTCCCTGTTTTTACCACTAAAACGGGTCGGAATGGCCCCATATACCATACATGACTTCATATACGATCAACCTTCACTACCTTGAGGTCTGTTTTGCTGTTGGGCAGCTGTGAGGTCATGTGACGTCATCAAAGGTCACCAAAGGTTTTTGGCCAATAACTCCGTACAGGAACAAGATACAGACGCGTGGATGGTCTCATTGTGTTCAGCTCGTCAAGACGCATCGAATGATATACATGATGACCTCGAGGTCACGTGACCTGAGGTCAACCTTTGACCTTGACCTTGCGAGGTCAACATATATATCATTCGATGCGGATTGACGAGAGGATCACGATGATGCCCTTAGTTTGTTCCTATCTTGACTAATTCGAAAGTTATTCGAGAAAAAACTCTCTCCATATCTAGCGCCGCCATTTTGACTTTTTCGACCCCTGTGACGTCATCTTTGACCTGACCTGAAAATGACCTTAGTAAAAATTGTAGATCTTGACCGTGCGTATCCGATGCCGTTTACCGTTTGTCGCTATCTTGCTTCGTTCTCGAGATCTCAGGGGGGGGGGGCCGAATCGGCCCCCCCCCGCCAGTTTCTTGTCCCGGCGGAGCCCGCCAGGAATAGGGTTAAAACTGTGGAGATTAAAATCTATCTAGAATCTGTATAGATCTATCATTTTTATACGCATATACCACACCCACATCTTTATGCGAAACATTCGAATTTAAGTCATATATGATAGCACGAATTACAGCCACCGCTGATCGCCTGCTCATCCTATCCTGCTAATTCCCTGAGGGGATATCACCGGCGGCTCACCCTGGTGACGATCCCGCCCGCTGAGCCCGAGCAAACAGAGCGCCATTGTGCGGGTCCGGGGCGCGCCGCTTTCATACTGTCTTAAATCCAGTTACATCCCAATCACTGTGGCCATGGCCCTGGGAGGGGAGGGCAGATCAGAGGGCGGCGCCGGCCATTGAGGCATGGCCCGCCGCCCGGTCGGCACACAGAAGCCCTGCGCTCAGCAAACCCAGAGCAGCCCGGCCGCAACGGAACACACCGCAAGCGCACGCGAGCGCACGCACCGACTAATGGCATTAACTGAGAAACCGGACTGAAAGTGGGGCGGTAACAGAAGCCGCGCCATTCATAGGTGTATTTAACGGTAACGGGTTCACGGGATTAGGTATAACATTGGGTTATAAAAGAAACGACATGTAACAGCGTAGGGGAAGCGGGGAGAAGTGGGACGTTGTTTGCAGGTTAACTTTTAAAATAGGTTAAAATGGTCGAGCTTCTGTCAAAATATGAGCATTTCCTTGAAATGCCAATAAGTAATAGGTGAGCCAAGTGGCAATTGAGAAACATATGGTGGTGATCGGTTTCACGGAGAGGCAAACGATTTGATTTAGCTAAATACCTAAGTTAAAGGACACTCACGAAGTTGAACGCCGTTCGTCCAACTCATCGCTCTCAACTGGCAATCGCCGATCGATCGTCAGAACTTTGCCATCACACGCGCCGGAGCGAATAAAACACGACTTTTACTAATACCAACTGAGTCTGCTGCTTTGTTGTTCTTACAAACCGAGCCAAGCGAACTCAACACGCCAGATGGCTCACGTACGACTAGGGTCAGGGGCGGGCCCGGGCGCGGGAACTACTTTCAGACTGGGGAGTGGGGGGGGGGGGCACACCGTAATAAATATCAACCTAGGGTATCCCCAAATCTAGTTTTCTCACCGGTTTTAGGCCACTTGTTTTTCATCCCTTGGCTTTTCTACAAAAAAGAAAACATTTGCAAAAAAGTGCGGCATACCGTTTCAAAGTTTTGAGGGCACCACCCCACGATCCCAGAGTTGGGGGGGGGGGAGGGGGCAAGCTGCCCCCGCTGTCCCCCGGTTCCCGCGCCTATGACTAGGGCATTTGATGCCCCGAGCATAGTTACCGTCCGAGACAAAAATATTCCAGCTCACCTGTTTGTGGGCAAAAGGCATTAAAATTGGTAAAAGACATCTACGATAACCACACAATGCATGAACAAGAACGCCTAAATAGCTCTCCTACAGCTCTGTCAAAAGCTTCAGTAGGTACATACCATGATGCATCCGTACGAATTTTATTTAAATGTAAGCCTGTGCACAGTTGCTGATACTGCAGAGCTGCGGCTGCACTGACCTTTGATGTCGACGGCCGGCGATGTCGGCTTGCTGACCACCAGCTGGGCGGGGTAGCGGACGGCGGCGGCGGCGGAGCAGGTCACGGCCGGGGTCAGCGGGGTCACGGCCGGGGTCAGAGGTCGCGCCAGCTGCACACACATCGGACACGGGTAGAACGGGCCGAACGCCGAGTGGGTGCAGTACAGCGGCGGCAGCGGCGGCCGGGCCAGCGGCGGCGGGGGCGCGAACCCGACCGAAGAGCCCTTGCTCACATACTGGGTCACGGGGCTGCGACTGTCGTATCCGGACACGACCGACTTTCGGTCGTCGCGGCCGGTGAGGGCTTCCACGGAGAAGGAGCGCGACATGTGGGCGGTAGGGGCGCGGGGCACTGGCGCGGGGCGGGCGGCACTGGGCGCCCCCGCTCCCCGTGGCTCGGCCGCCGCCTGTGGCTCCTCCCCTGGACACGCCCCCATGACGGTGGCCGCCGGCGCCGGCACGGTGCGACCAATTAGCGCCGCCGCAGGAAGTGGCCTTTGTCCTCTGCCGCACTCCTCCCGATGGGCGTAATTAGCGCAACAAAAATGTCTGCTGCGATCGTCCAGCCGTAGTCATATGGCGGATTTTAACGCCAGCAACATGACACTATTTAGAACGTCAACTAAAAACGATTCCATGTCACTTAGATTTATTTCGTGACAGATTTGCGGGGCAGTAGGAACACGCCACCAGGGGCGTGCTAGATAAAATCGGCATGCAAAAACCATTTAGATGGATTACCGGCACGCCAATTCACCACAAATTAAACATAATAACTGTTGGTTACTACGCTCAAATCCATAGATAAGTTCTTAACAAATTACGCGGCCAACATG